TCAATCAGCAGCAAATGCTCGGAATGTGATAAACAGTCCTTAGAGTTGAACTACTCTTCTCGACTTCTTAATGCGACAGTTAGGACTCATTGATGCCAATCATTTGCAGTTTGTGCTGGCATAATTGCTCTATATATTGGAATTACGTATTAATCAATATATATAAGACTAAATTATAATTTTAAATATTTATTAAGTATTTTAAATATTTTTAGTTAGTGTCTCTTGTTATATAGTATGAAAATTTCCATGCAAAGTGCATGCACACTCACATTAAATGCCATCATTTTCCATTGAAGACAGTTCATCAAGAAATAAGTACGAGTACCGGGTATCTAATGGCCGTAAAACTAACTTTCCTGCGAGTATTGGCTTTTTAGTTACGATCCCAGCCACCGCCGGCTTACAACTTTGCATCATTCTTTTTCATTTCGCATGAGTACATAGATGAATGAAATGAATGGATTGTTCTGCCGGCTTCTGTCGTCGGCTGAGTGCCTCCTTCTGCTGCTGCATCCTGCTCCTGGTTGAGGAGGTCCTGGTTTTGGCCTGGTCTGGATGGGGTCGAGTCGAGTCGAGTCGAGTCGAGCCGGGCAGGGAAGTCAAGCAGTCAGTTGGCGGCCTGTTAAAGCGGATTTGTGCTACTCTTGGCTACGATTCTCCATGCATTCTGCCCCCAGTGACCCCCTCATTTTGCCCTCGATTTTTTCTGGTTTCAGGACACACTGCAGCCGGACGGAATGGTCGCCCCGGTGGCGCCACCAGCTTACATTATTTATTTTGTTTTATTTTTCATCTGCTTCCAGTCTGGCATCGCACATTTCTTTGTGGGTGGAGACTGAGACCCGGAATGATGATAGATCAAGTATTTATAGAATGTCGTTTTGCATTTCTCTTACTATTGATTTTTGTTTAAGGTTTCGCTTTTATTCAAAAGTTGAACATGATTTGCTTGTGCTGTGAGTTGGCTAGATTGTTTGTAGTTTTAAAATTAAGCTGGGGAAGTATAAATGCTTGGAACTTTCATACAAATTACAAATTGATAAAGACAATTTCATTTTTGAGCAATGTCTTACTGTATGCCTTTCGGCATTGGTTTATTTAAATAAATATTTAAATATGGTTATTTACATCATTGCTTAAAAACAAATACAAATCAAAAAGTTAACAAAAAGAACTTAATTCCTAAATCTAACTTTTGTTCAATTGCTCTCTATTGACAAGCAATGAAAGCAAAATGGCAATATTTGTTTAAACGTAAACTTGGGGGGTTTTCACGAGTGTCCTTGAGCGGAAATAGAACCACCCTTCCAATGTTGCCGGCCATGATTAGCTAAAATCCCATGCAGTGCAAGTTGGCTGGGAGCCTTTGGGACAGTCGCAATTATTGGCGATTCGGAAGCTTCCACTTCCTGTTTTCCCTGGAAACGACTATCATATATTCAATCCGCTTAAATTTTTTTTAATCGCTTGATATTGCAATAGGGAGTTTTAAACATTTCCTTAAGTTACGTTTAGCAATACCCTGCTAACATACAGGTAAGCAACTTAAATTGAGGGAAATCCTCATAACTAATCCATAATTTAATAGTAGGGCTGGTATTGTAAAGACTATTATTTAAGTAAATAAGTTAAATAAAAAATTTAAAGTAATGGAACTTTTTTAATCCACAATGCCCTTAACGTTGAAATAATTTGGGCTATGTATTCTTTCCACTCGTATTACTCAGGCGGCAACAGATGAGGCTGCAGGGCGTTTTTTGAAAATTGGAGTGTGGGCAAGGATATCACATTTAATAAAGGACGCACAGATATGAGCTTAAGCCGCCTCTTGTGAAGTCTCCTGGGCGGTTTGCCACCCGTCGCTGTGTCGTCATTTTGAAAGCATTTTTTTTTAGTCCCCATTCTGATGGAACGCGAACTTCACCTCGTTGTTCTGTACTTGCTTGTATATTCACTTTTTTTTTCGTTCTGCTGTCAAGCAGGATATTACACCTCGGATTTTGGCGCTGTCTTTCACTTTCGCCTGCTGTGACATATTTCTATGGCCATTTCCCTCCTCTCTGCCCTGCTGTGAGATAAGTTTCAACCAGCTAGACAGACACTTTTTTTTTGTGTTTTTTGTTTTAATCTTATAAACAATGTCAGCGTGTGCTCATGCCACAAATTGTTGCATATATCATCCGGCGGGCACTTTATTGTTTTAATATGTTAAATCGTAAGTTTTTCGGAATTTACATTCTTTAATATGTGTAAGTTATGGGAACGTTGTGTTTTAAATGCAAAATACCTATTACGAGTTTTGTGAGAGATAAATGAGTTCATGCACAGGAAGAAATATGATTACGTTTATTATTAAAAGTATTAAAAAGGGTTTTTGGGGAAGGGAAAAGAAACCAAAATATTTATAAGTAAAGATCAATTTTTAAAGTCTTTTCTGCTGAAAAAATGTAAGCCAACTAGGTTAAAAAATAATATGTGTATTTTTCTTACCTTGTGATATTTCTAGAAATGGTTAAGTGTGTCTTTAAGCTTTAAAGTTTTCTTCGTTAATTAACTTGAGAAAAGACTTACACATATGTTGTACACTACATGCATTCCTTAATCTCTCAAAAATTAGCCACACGTGTGTATTTATTCTTACATCCTTTATTTAGAAATTCCTCTAATTGACATTCCTTTGGCGGCGTCTAACTAATTTTCATACATTTATCACCACTTTTTGCGGCCCTCTGGCAAATGTAATTTATATTTCTGTACGAAGGTGGGCTGCCTTTTTTTTGTTTGCTTGATTTTTTCGCTGAACATCCGGCGGGTAAATAGGTAGAAGCCCAGAACCAAATTAGCCGTTTTCTAATGAAAGACAAGGATTCGTATGGTATTTGTGTGTGTGCTCTGCTTTGGGTCTGTCTGCACTGATAAAAGCACAAAAGATAAGGCCAGGGGCAATTTTTCCTACTCACACCCTTTAACCCCACATATCATACATAACTCACCGTTGATTTTCGGAGCACAATTTCCCCCTTTGAGGAGCGTTTTTTTTCTGGTTTTTGTTTGGATTTAACCCACGCTTTGTTTGTAGTTATGTTCTACGTGCGGTTAATCGCAAATGAGCAGCGCTATTCCTTGTTACCATAATGAGGCCAATTAGGCTTGAGGCAAAAACTAAATGCCGTGTGCAGTTTGTGTAATGGGCCGCCTAACAATGCGAAGTGGGTTCTACGGGTATATGGATCTCCACTACCCACTCTGGCGCCCTTTTTGGCACAATTACGGATGGGCAAATGGCTTTATATCTGCTCCGATATCCTGGCGATATCCTGGCATCTGGTAGCTTTAAGTTCTTCCTTGTCAGTCATTCGAATCTTGGATTATGCTGATGTTTTGCAGACTTTCCGGCGACTTACGCAACTGCAATTGGAACTGCATCATTTTATGGCTTTATTTGCATTGCAACTTTGCCCCAAGTTCTTTTTACGCTTTATGACTTGTCTTCAACCAAACTTATTTTGACACTGGTCTTTATTATTATGCTGGTTATTTGGTTTGCGTTTGTTATTGTGGTAATAATGGTTTTTATTTGCATTAAATAAGATAAAGTTTGGATTTTAAGCTTCGAATGGCAAAAATGCATAAATATTACTAATTTTTTATTATTTCTTTTCAAATTACTTTATAAAGGAAACATCGAAAATAGTTAGCCTTCAAGCTTTCAATTTATATAGTACGTTTCTTTAACGCTTCCTTTGTTATTAATTTACATATTAAAACTGAAACATCTGCATATCATAGATAACCTGGAATAACATATAGTACGTAATATCTCATTTATGTTTGGCTCCTAGCCAACTTTAGTGTTAAATCGTCCTGAACTCGGCTTAAAGTTAGTTTTGGTCCTCGACATGCGACCATTTACGTGATAAAAGATCTCCGCACATACAGTGACAATGCATTTGGCAGATATTTGCACGGAAATCGCCAGAGAGCATGTGAAATATTTATGGAGGGGCAATGTGGATGTCATGATGATTAGTTGCATATTCTCTTAACCCACCAATGGCCAAAGGAGCCTGGGAGCTGTGAGCTGGGAGCCAAGCTTGTGAGGCCCTGTGCCCGTTTTGGACCAGGCAAATATTTAATTTAAGAGCATTTTCTTGCGTTATCCCCGACCATGGGACGTGGGCCACAGCGTGGCGTGTCTAGTGTCCAGTGTCCTGTCCAAGGATGCCCTGTTCTGCCCTGGCCTGTCCTGTCTTTGGAAATCTCAGTTGGATTCCACCCACTTTCTTTTCTCGGTTTTTCCTCCTTCGATTGCAGCTGAGGCTCAGTCATACTCGTATTAGCCCAAGTCAAACAATGGCATTGGCAAACCGAAGAGCAGCGCCAAATTGCAACGTGCAGAAGCCAAGGCATCGGGAAAAGCGGGAAATACGGGAGAAAATGGGGCCTGGGCCAGTGTTGTTAAGAAAATGCACCAGACAGAAAATCGATGGCAAAATGTTAGCTACTTTTTGCTGCTGCTCTTGCTGCTTGGTTTATTTGTTTATTTTTTATTGTTCCATGTGGGGGAGGCACTCTAAATCCTTTGTGTGGCAGATTAACACGTGCTCGCTCTCGAAACTCTGGGGAAAAAAAGAATAGTCGGAAGGTCACTTTCAAGTTGCTTGCATATCCACAAATATATTTAAATCAGTATATATATATTTTCCCAGGAATGAATGCTCTGTTCTGCCTTTCAAATCGATTAAAAAATTCAAGAGAAATCAATTTGCACTTTTTTAATTAAACTTGTGTTTCCCCTCCCCGCGTTTTTCCTTTTATATGACAACCACTTTGGTCAAAAATGGAATTCCTTTTTTTTTTGCCGCAAAAAATTCGCTTCAGTAGTTTGTCAATTGGTCGACAAAAGTTAAATATTAAAAACTGCAGCAAAATGACATTTTTGCATTCTCCGAGAATATTTTTCATTTAAAATAAAATATGCAAAGAAAAGTCGAAGCTTTTAATTTGCTCACATTTTCAGGTTTTTATTGTAAAAATTCAATCATAACAATTAAAATTCAGTTTACATTAATTTTTAGGGGTTTCGGTCTCTCAGTTTGAAATTATGCTATTACATTTATGAATTTTATACATATATGTCTGCTGTATGTATTCTAAACAATTCCATTTATCATTTAATTGTTCGTTTATTAAATACTTAAAAAATAAAATGCGTCTAAATCGAAATAGGTTATTACACTGTCGCTCAATAATGTTTAAATGTTCAATGTTAATATATAATTATTTGTTTAAAGTTTTTTGGTGATTAATATCTAATCAATTACATTGGTGTGTTTTTAATTTTATTTATTTTTGGTTTTGATTTTTATTTCTAATTACAGGTTAAACATTATCAGTTTAGTTTGGTTTCCCCTTTATTTTTTCCAAAAATATACATTTTTCCTTAATTTGATAGGCTTAGTTTTGTTGGTTTTTGGGTTTGTGGCTCGTTAGAGGACGAAGGCCAACGATAGATTTCTCAAAAAGGCAAAACATTATTATTATTATACAATTACAATTAGGTGACTTCCTTTATACAAGTTATACAAGTTTTATTGGTTTGGTTCTCGCTTGTGAACAATTTAAATATAACAATTCTCGACGCTAAGACTAATGTGTTTTTTTCTCCGCTAAAAATTATAGATAAACTGCCCATCGCTAGATGAACACTTAAAATTCCATCAAGAAGACATTCTGTATGTGTAGCTTACAATGTGGGTGCTATGAGGAGAAGGCCTGGTTGCCCTGACCTTTTTGGGGCGATTGTTGTTGCATTTGTTGTGCACTTGGTGACATTTGGTTCATTTGATTCATTTGGCTATTGGCATTAGCTCTACCATTTAAGCTACTCGAATTGTTTTGGCTCAGTTGGGACTTATTGTTATTGTTCGTGGTTGTGACTGTGGCAACACGTCTCAGACGATTATCCGGAATCGGTGGTGAATTCAGAGTGCCCGAATATGGTTGATGTTGCGGCGACAGCGAGGACGGACCACTTCCGCTTCCGCCGAAGGCGTTGCGAATGCTGCTGCCACCACCCATCCCTCCCCCAGCTCCAACAAGCCCGCTGGCGGAACCGCCAAAGATGCTGCCATTGCTGCTGCCAATCAGGCTCAGCGAGTGCTCGTTCGAGAGGATCTGGTGGGCGGCCAGGTTCATTTCCTCGGGCGTCATGTCCAGCGCCTCGCGCATCTCCCGCGCAGCAGTCCCCACAAACTCGGAGTCACAGTATTTACCCAATCCCTCAGCGGCGAGTACCTGAAATTTATAAAAATTATATTACTTTAAATTCGAAGATACTTTTTTCTGGCTCCGAGTTTAAACACCATCTGTGCTACCCTTTTACCAATTATAAGCTTTACTAAGGCTTAAATTTTAAATCAAAAAAACAAGAATTCTAAAAACGCGAATTCTTCAGACTTTAAAATAACGTTTTTAGTGCTTATCATAAAATAGTCGTATTTTCTTCAAATCCCGTATGTTGTGAAGAAATGTGGATACGAAATCAATTTATTTGATATAAATATTATCCTGGTCTCGAATATAACCCCTTTTGCTCATTATATTTTCAATCGAATAGTTACTTACCCCTCCAATCAATGACTCGGCTAGGCCGTTCATATCAGATGAAGTTGGTAAACGACGCTGATCGTAGGGACTAGCTGGTGTCGATTGGATCATGCGTTCGTGGCCAGGAATAGCACCATTGGGTGCGTAGACTAAATGTTTGCATAAAATAAGATAGTTTTGAATATTTTTATTAAAAATGTGATATAGGTTGGTTATGATATACGCATATTTTGTATACACGCTTTATTAGAACTTGATGATCCAAATGCTAGTATTCTTAAGTTTTATACAAGTTACTTTACTTTTTATAAATAGAGATAATTTATCTAAAAAGTTTAGATATTTTTTGCAGATATTTTACAATAGTTGTTAAGTACAAGCTTTATTTATAAGAAAATAGAGATTAAGATCAATTTAAAGGTTTAAAAGTTTAAGCAAAAATTAGTAAGACTGTATATTTACAAACTGTTAAAATCAAACTATCCAATCTCAATAACATAAGAAATTTACATTTATAATACAATTTTTTAAGCAACAACTACATTTTTAATCCGAAATATACTTGCTCTTATCTGCTTTTAATGGATCATCAAGCCTATTAGTTTGATTCATAATATATGATTACAGTTAATTGTTAGATAAGCATTCGATATTACAAGCTGTTAAACACTATTTTCAAACATTGTTACAACCTGGGTCATAACCTTTAAAATAAATGTTAGTATCATAGGCACAAATGAAACGATAAGTTTTTTTCTAAAATGTAGCAAGCAGTTATTGGTATAAATAGGGCAAAGCTCAATATTCTCCAGGAATGCTAGGCAACATTTATACGGATTTTAATGCTAGGCGTTCTATGAACAATGCAGGCGTTGCATCTAAGCATCTAAATTAAGTGTTTTTTCGGAGTTGTGTTTGTATTCACAGTGTTTTGTGTCAAGTGTTTGTGAAGTGGATGTTGAAACCCGAAGGCCCCAATCCATGTGACAATAATTCCCACACAAAAGAAAAGAGGAAGCGACGATTATACAACACTGAAAGACAATAGTACATTTTGAATAATTTTTCTGGCTGATGTTTTTTTTTTTGCATAGCATAGGATAACATATACGTAAATTTTTAACAATTACAACGAAGACAACGTTCAGATTTTCAGCTTGGGTATAACAATTGAGTAGTTGGTTTTTGGTTAGTATTATATGTATAAGATGTGGTTCATATGGTCGCAAGGCACACACTTTGGTAAGGGATACGGCTCAATAAAGCCAAGGCCAAGGCTTCATGAGTAGATGGGCACAACATCACGGCTTTTATAAGTATATATATAAGAAATTTTATATATATAGAATATATAGACATCGATATCGGGTTTGCTTTGGGATTGCTTTTAATTACGTTCGTTCTCTCTTGTTGCTGTTGTTGCGTGTTAAACGATTGTTGTTGTTAAAGTTGTTTCTGGTACTTGTTGTAGTTTGTTGTTCTTGTTGTAGGTGTTATGTCATTAAATCCACATTGTTATCAGGGAACTCTCATATCGGATACACGAATTAGCATAATCTTTACCGACAACGGAATGTTTCAATTGATACTTTTTTTTGTTTCTTTACATTTTAAACTTAACAACAAAATAATAAAAAATAAAATTAGCTTTTGGGAAGAATTCCCATATGGAAAGGTAAACAGTCTTGGTTCGAACTCTTTGGAGACTCTTTGGACACTCAAGAATTTTGTCAGGGTTCGAGACTCAGCACTCGGTGGTTTTTAAACTCGAATCACTTATGCTATAATAAAGATTTTTGTAAGAAAGAGTTAGAAAAACAAATTACTATAACAGACGCTATTGACTGATTTTTTTTAAATATCTTTTTATTTTGACGAATTTGTTCTTCCACAAAATTGATGACTTTTGATGGGTTAAATCCGTTGATTAGTTTGTAATTAACAAAAGGAGCCACAGACGCTTTGGTTAATCGTATTAAATTGTTAAAGTGGAAAATATATTTTTTGAAGTGGTTTTATGTCAGGTTATAGTGTGGTTAGCACAACAGTTATTGGGAAGAAGTTTTGGAGAAGAAGGTGGTATCGATAGTATTTTAGATAGATCAGCCAATTGTAATACCGAATTTATCGACTTTCCGCTTCGCAGTATTAAAGCAAATAAAGAAACTAATTCTAATAAACATAATAGTTTTAAAAATGTAATTAAAATACCCTATCAGTTTTAGAACGAAGCAAATCGACTTTCTTAAATTGGAAACATCTGGAATTTCTATTTTTGTATATTCCACTTATAATATAGAATTATGACCTTTACCTGTATGTAAGCTGTCCTGAAATTAAAATATTCTCAAAAATATATGCTTTATGTATTGAAATATGTTTTTGTGTGTTTGGCTTGATTTTAACTATAATGCAGCGAAAGCGTTTCTAATTTTTAGCTGTATAATAAGCTGCACTCAAAAATAACTAAACTACGAGTTTTGTTCTACGATAACTAGTCTATTTTATGTTTAGTTCAGAAATAAGATCTAATGGATGTGTACTACAATGTTGTGAAACATAATTACAATTTTTATTCGATTCAGTTATGTTAATTTTGTCCCGATTAATGAACAGCCAGGAAAACACAATATGAACAAAAAACACTTGGCCGCCTCATCTGATTAGTTAATGATTTTGCAATTCGACTTGAAAAGTCGTTTTCAACAATTTTACATGCCGCAGGCAATAAAACAAATTTTAGAACGCAGTGGGCGAGAATCTGTACATAATTTTAATTTGCAATATGATTATTAGAAATGCAGCAGCTACATAATCGGAGATAAAACAAAACAAATCATTTGGTAAACAATTAGATTGGTGTTATAATAAATTTTGTTGCGTTTTTGTTAGGGTCAAATTTTGAGTGTGTGAAAACAACAAACGAACCAATTTGATCGGAATTATATTTTTAGAATTTTGTCCGGTTAAAAAGGAATAAAATATAAAACACATTAAATAATGTTCATAAATTGTAGTGCATTATGTTCTTGCTGTTGCAATTACTGCTGTAGTTGTTTTTGTTATGTTTTTATTTGTTTTAATTTTATTATTGCAATTTGCAGCATTTTAGGCTTACCATTGTTATATGGATGCAATAAAATACCACGATTGCGGTTGCTGAAATTAATGTTCGGGGATTGAGTAAAAGTTTGGTTTATGTTTTTCTTTTTTTCTCAATAAGTATGTTCTTTTTTTTCTGTATCATTTGGTTTAAAATCCACTAGTTTATGTGGCAACAAGTATGCAATTAAAGGTATTTTGTGATTGCAACTAAGTTTTTGCTAAGTCAACTAATTTAAAACTCGTATTTGTTTTGGTATGGTGGTGCCAAGTCAGTTGTTGAGCTTGGCTCGGCTCCTTTTGTCCATTACAAACTTTAGGGCGCTCTTCACTAGGTGACCAAACAAAATGCCACAAAACAGAAAACGATAATTGTTGGCAGTAAGAAATATGGTTCAACTCACTAAACAGCAAGCCATAGTAACAAGTAGTATGGTAATGGAGCTTCGTGTGTTTATATATCTTTTTTTTCGTTTTTTTTTTTTAATTTTTATCTAGGTGAGAACTTTAAAATTGGCCTACTGTCAGCTCCATTTGCAGATCTATCTGCTTCCCCGCATACTCACTCATAGTTAATGGCATTGGCCTCGGGCGGCAGGGTTCCGGCCACAGTGGCCGCACCGCCTCCGTTTTTGGCCAAAGGTCGCATGGAGATGCTCTCGCCGAATGTCCTTAGCTCTCCGCCACTTCCGGTCGCCTGCAGTTCGTCCTGCAGCTTTCCGGCCGCCGCCAATCGGGCCTGCATTATGTTCCGCGTGATATTGTTCACCCCATCGGCCACACTGCGGTTCAGGGTGTCGTACAGATAGTCCCCGCCAGAGGGATCCCCGCTCCCCAGGACCATGGTACTACCACCCACGCCCATGGCCGCCGAGGCGGATCCGCCGATCGCCAGGGCACCGTTGCTCTGCGAGGCTGTCGCCTTGGCGCTCCGCCGGAAAGTTCCGTTCCCATGCCGCCGGATCGATGACCACACACTGCCAAAAAGCGTGTGGTGGCGCTACGGGAAATATGGGAAATATTTATAAGTTTAAAAATATTATATAAAATTACAGCTATTTTAATACAACATTTTAATATTTAGGACTTTTCAAGTTTTCTTTTTTAAGTATTTCATTAAAAATTAAGTAAAAAAAAATTAAAAAAAGTATTTAAATATACTTATTTTTTCTATAACAGTTAAGATGATAATAATTGAAAGTAAAAATCAGATCTGTCCTAATAGGTAAATTTTTTGTCCGACTACTAATATATTTTTAACAAAGAAAATGGAAGTACTAACATTCGTAAGTGGCCAAATATGATTTTGTTATGTTAAAATTTTTTAAAATATAGTAAATTCTTTTTAAACTTTCTAGTCACGTTTGACGTTTCATTAATTGAGTGATCTATACCACGTACAAATTATGTAAAGTCTTATTACCAAGGATTGCATTCAGGTATAGATAGATACTGACTTTAAAGTGTCCTTGTTTATAATTATTATTAATTTATGGTTCATAAGCTAGGATATTTGGTATGAAAAGTTCTGTGGGTTAATAATACTACTATACTATAAGTAATACTATAGATTCCTTTAAGCAAACTTACTCGATGCATCGGCTCCGGCTCCTGATCCAGCTCATCGAGATTACCTGAGATGGCCCTCTTGAGAGCCGGGGAGACCTCGTGCAGGGTTCGCAGACCGGCCTGTAGAGTGACCGTATTGCTGTCCGGATGACCCTCCTTGCCCTCCTGCTCCTTGCGCTTCTTGAAGCGTCGGAAGTAGTCCTGAATCAGATATGTGGCATAGAACTTGCCGACGGTCACCTCGTCATCATTGCCCGGCGGCGGAACCACCTGATCTAGGAGCTTTGGATTGGTTCGCTTCCAGATCTGTTTGATTGTGGCCCGCAGCTCGGAGTTGGCATCATCGATGTTGCCATCGGTCTTAATGCTCAGCGATGTGCGGACCACGGCAAATAATGTGGCATTGAACAGAACAGTTCCATCGGAGTTGAGGGGCATGTTCATGGAGACCAGTCGTTTGCAGGCCATTCGATGAGGACATAGCTTGCCAAATCCAAGTGGCGGCGAGATCTTTCTCAGCAATGTGACCACATCCAAGTGTTTGATGCGTCCCTTGGCATCCGGATCGTATTCGCTCCAAAGACGAATAAACTCGTCCAGGTGATGTGGTCCCAAAATGGACCAATCGCGCGTCAGATAATCAAAGTTGTCCATAATGACGGCCACAAAAAGATTAATGATCTAAAAAATACATTGTAAAATTATCAGATAAAGTAGAATACACTCATTTTGATGGTTCTTACCAAAAACGAGCAGAGAACATAGAAGGAAATGAAGTATGGATATGCTATTGAGGAGCCGCACGCATCGCCAGGCGTATCTGACTCCATATCGCATTTTACATCCGGTTGGGCCGAGCAGGACATCATAATATCCTGCCAAGCTTCTCCGGTGGCCGATCGAAATAGTACGAGCACGGCCTGTTGAAAAGTCTGGAAGTTGTTATTTTCCGTTATGGAGTTACCACCATCCAGAGCAATTTTGCCAAAAACCTGGAAAATAAAAAAAGCAAACAAATTAATATTACTTTTTAATATTTCATACAAAAAGACTTACTTGCATCCCCACCACTGCGTAGATAAAGAATAGAAGCACAATTAGTAGGGCCACATAGGGCAGGGCCTGAAAAGATTTGATAAAAGTCCAAAGTAATGTACGAATGCCTTCGCCTTTGCTCAGAAGTTTCACAAGTCGCATGACACGAAACAGTCGGAAGAAATTAATTGATATTAGATTGGAGCCAGCCTGAAAGGAAATAGGTTTTACAAATGTATGTAGAAAGAAATTTAAAATAAACTCACAGATTTCTTTGTGGCTTTACAGTCCTCTACAATGTCGCATTCGGGTTTCTGAGAAGCATCTTTGCTCTGCAAATATTTGAAATTATTAGATTCAATTCTAATCCATATATCACATTTAAGCACCTTAATTTCAGAGTAGACAATGTCTATAAAACTGCCCAAGACAATGATAAAATCAAAAACGTTCCAGGCATCACCAAAGTAGTTCTGAAAAGTAATAGACAAACCAGTTACTATCGGATTTCATATATAAGTAAATTAATAATCTTACTTTAAATCGAAATGCGGCTAGTTTGAAAACAAACTCTAGTGCAAAGACCGCCGTAAATATCATATTCAAGGCATCCAAAAGTTCCGTGTACCACAACGGTTGATTATAGAACTTCATTGCCAGCGTTACCGTATTTATCATGATCAGTATGAATATGGTATACTCAAAGGATGATGATGTGACGAACCACCAGACCTTGTATTGTATACCATGCTTCGGTATGTAGCGCCTAACAGGCTTAGCTTTCAAAGCGAATTCTATGCAATTACGCTGGTTCTTATCCAGATCACAATTTTTGTATTCCTGTTCACCCTCGTTTTGAAAGGTGACAATAACGAAACCGACGAATATGTTCACCATGAAGAAGGCAATAATAATGATGTAGATTATATAGTAGGCAGCTACGATCGGACGGAAGTTGTGTATTGGACCGCCGTTTTCCTCATTCGAATCGATTGAAACGTACAGCAATCTGGAGTTTTAAATGTATACAATATATAAGAGGCGAATTGTAAAAATATCTTGATAAAAACTTACCCTGGCCAACCCTCAAAGGTGGATACCGTGAAAAGGGTCAACATGCCCTTGGCCACATCGTCAAAGTGGAACCGATTGTTACTCCATTCCCGTTCCTTGAGTCGCGGTTTGTGAACATCACCCTCCTCATAGACCAGATAAGTGCCGCTAAAAAAGTATTTTGATTTAAACTAACCCTTTTACTTACTAAAATATCACTTACTAGCAATCCTCTTGCTTCATTTTGGAACCATCAGAGCACTTGAAAAATTTACCCTATTTTTTGATGGGTTTAACATTTTTAAGGGACGTCAGGGAATGAAAAGATAATAATACGATTAGCTTGTGAAATGATAAAGATGATAAGTTATGGGTAGCAATCTCATCGTTAAGTAATCTTCGATCGAGTTTGCTATCCCAGGGATCACAAACATTATAACTGCTTTACTATACGGACTATTAACTAATACCTAGTTCAAAAATAGCTTTGAGCAGAATACGATAGACTAGTACTACATATTTTCTTAAATGTATGCACACATTTACAGGGTGTTTCATATGCAAACACATTTACACATACTCTGCTCGAAATTGTTGATAGACGACAACGATTTTAGTTTCTTTTTTTTTTGGACAGAACATTATTTACAGACTGGACACCAACAAAGGTTATTGGGTTTAAAAACAGTGTTACGTACATGGGAAAATATAGAAATATATTACATTGGGTTAGCAAGGGAGCGAGCTAACGTTGCCTTTCAGGTTAGTTTGAAAAAGCTGGAACTGAGCTGGATGGTAAAACTTGAGAATATTCGTTTTTTGATTTACCAAGCTATTGCGAAGCGAAATTTGTTCTGTTACAAAACAGCCTTTACTTTAGAAAAAGACTTATGTTTAGTCAAATTCAAAGATATAACATCGATAATAGTTACCTTTCAATAAAAATTACCCTACACACAAATACCAAGATGAAAGGAAACTACAAAATTGAAAGCACACACAGATTAAGCCGCATTTGAAAATTTATTTATATTTGTTCCTTTCGAAAAATAGAAGCGCACACTTAAAGCCGTCTGAAGATACCCTTCACCAATGACTTTTCATATATAATTCAAAAGAAATTACCTTAAAGAGTTGTACTCCAATAACAGCGAACATGAATTGTAACAAATATGTCACCAACATGATATTACCAATGGTTTTGATTGCGACTACAACGCACTTGACCACATACTGCAGAAGTTTAATGTTTTTATCAGTGTAGGCCAATTGGTTGGTTGTTTAAATTTATTGCGAATGAATGATAATTAAAATTTATATTTTCATTTTCAATTAATGTTTGTGTGGGGCGTCAGCATCAATTAATAGGGTTATTTTTTTTTATTTGGTGGCCACATATTTATATGATGAAATCAAATGGTTTTTGGCATTATATCAGTATTAATAATACGACATTTTTTTGTTGGGTTTGCAAAATTCAATTGAAAACAACCGAAACACGTTCGAGGAGAGAAAAAGGGAAGAAAATACGTTTAAAAATTGGGAATTCCTTTTATAAGAAGTTTGTGTGTTTTGTTTTTAAAATTCTACAAATAGAACTTTAGTTAATTTTTTTACAATTGGAATAATAATAATAAAATCAGAAGGTATAAATAAAATAAAAATCAAAAGGCTTAAATTACGAAAGTAAGGAAAATAAATATTGAAATAAAAATCAAAAACATTTTAAATTATTATTTTGTAAATCCATAGTAAAAGTCATCCATTAAAAAAATAATACGATTTTATTATTCCTATATGACGGCAACATTTATGAAGATGACTTAACTGTGGACTTAAAAGGAATTTATTCTATTTAATTGCTTTAGTGAGTTGTTGTTACTGATGGTCCGCAATTTTTGGGGTTCTATACACCTGGGAATTTTATTTACTAATGGGCGGATAGGCCTTGATGCTAGGGTGCAAGGTAGGTTGCTGATTTGTTGCTAAAGAATAAAACCCAAAATTCATGTGCTGATATGTGCGCTATATATGTAGCACATTGCGTATATATACTGTATGTGGAAGTGTGCTCATGATTGCATATCGATATCTATTGTTGCATTTAGACGTGTACAATCGCAGAAAATGGGTGTGGAATATATAAGAGTTGATATTACAATATATGGTATAATGTGTTTTAGGTTGTGTGAGTTGTGTTAAAATCAGTGGAATCGCTTTCATGGGCGGTTAATAATCCTTAAAAGTAAATTTCAAAAGGATAACTATTCATCCCAGTTTCTGTTTTATAAAGAATCCCAATTCACATGTTTTAGCTGGTTTCTAATCCATTTCCTGTGAATGACTATTTGCTGATATATCTTTGATACCGACTTGGTCTGAAATATATTATGCTGAGCATTAATAAGCAATACTAGCCAGCAAAAAGTTGGTTTTATGTACATTAGCTAGACGTTTGCAATTGTTCGATTTTGATTTATTTACCATTTGATTTTAAGTAAAACCAACAAAGCTACACAAAAGTTAGTCAACATAATTTTAAATCAAATCAAATTATAAAGCTTTGAAACAATATTAGTAGTTGTGCAAATTCGAACGAAAAAACTTGATTTTAACAACAACATTATGTTAGGGGTTTTGAAAAGTTGCAAGGTTGTACACCCAAAATAATTTCTTAAGTATAAGCCTAAAAACTGGTTCTAGAAAAATATAACTTTTTATTTTCAATTGTAGGTAAATTAACTTAAGCTTTTCCTTTGAAGGTTTTTATTCTTAAAAAGGTTTCATGCGGTGGCTGCAAGTCCAAAATTTGTACATCACTTATAAATGCATTTTAACTTGACATTTTTACAGATCCTTAAATGCTAAGTATAATCATTTAACACCTTTGCTATAAGGTATTTTTAAATATATTGGTAGCTCTACTTTATATATTTTCCCTACTCTTAGGCTTACTTAAAACGGAAACAAACAAAGTGTGAACTTAAAAGTAAAATCATACCTTAAACAATTGGACTCCTATTACGGCAAACATGAACTGCAGTAGGCATGTGACGAGCACAATATTTCCGATAGTCTTAACAGCGACTATGACACATTGAACAACATGCTGTATGTGATACGACGATATATAGTTATAGTAAAACTCTATTTAATGTATAAATCTTATCATAAATAAGGCATGTTTTTGGTTTCTGACTTCCTTTTATAGCGCGAACAGTTTGCTGGTCTTGTGTTTAGTATTTGGGGTTATTACATAGATTTCACTATGCCCAAGCCACGCCCATACATTTCTATTCCACTCCCATTTTCGTTAAGGTGTTACGAGTAAAGCTCAAAATTAAAAAAAAGGTTTGTCAGCTATGTATAGTTCATGAATATACTTTTTTTGCTTCATTTATTTGTTTCTTTTTTGTATAACTTTATTGTGGTGCACCCTACACCCAGCATTTCAAGGTTTTTTGTTTGGCATACTCAAAAGTTAATTGAAGGCCCAAGACCACTTCTTAGGGTTATCATTATTAAACAGTTTTAAATTGCTTATTAGTTGGAGAAAAATTCTTGAAATTATTTTGTGCATTTCGTTGATAAATAAAAAGTAAAATAATAAAACTTAAACTAAAAGAAAAAGTGTAACCATTTTTAATTGAAGCATTTATTTGAGTGTCAGAAAAGAAAGTAGCGAGATAGGATTAGGATTTGGATGAATTCTTACCTTGAGACCCTTGGCACGATTAATAGCTCTGAGTGGCCTTAAAACACGGAGCACACGTAGAATTTTCACGACTGAAATCGCATTCGAACTGCAGTTGAAATCGACGTTATTGTTTATGTTCCAGAAGTAATTAGTATCACAACTACTGGGTTAGAGTAGTTATTTAGATTATCGTTTACCTGGACACTAGAGATATTAATGACACGCAGACCACAAGTAAATCTAATAGATTAAATGCGGATCTGCAAAAGGCTCCGTCGTGTAATACGAAGCCGTATGAAATCAATTTCAGAATCAGTTCTATTGTGAAAACTGCCGTGAAAAAATAATCAAATTTATTGAGCACCTGCAAAAACAAATGAAGAGTGGTGAAGGACATCGAATGAAAAGTGTTACTAGTATAAGGCAGAAGAGATTTCAGCTATTCTCGAGCTTCAATCGTCACTTACAAGTTTTTAAAATCATTTGACGCGGTTTTTTTTCGGTTCGGAACAGGAGCTACTTACTTTATTCAGTTCATCGTTGGCTCTCAGAGGATTCTCTGCTGCCAACATAGCGGACGAAAACATAATGCAACACAAGATGATGTTGCCGAAATTGCCGTGATTGCAAAGCCAATGGCAGAAGACTCGGAATCTGTTGAAATATGGTTAAAAAACACCGTTAATAAACAAGTGCCTAAAATATTCTATATCACAAAAATAAAATCACAAATATTTCTTTTTATCATGCAATTAGAGTTTTCACAAGACACGTTAGAAAACAAAATCATGGTATAAGAAGCAGCTAAGAATCTATATAAATTTGGTCTACCAAAATCAATTTCTATAATCTAATCAAAATTAAAAAATAAATTCGGGATTTTGTGGACTTATGACAATATACAAAACAAGGTTAAACAAAAGGACAAGTACATGATTATTGAAATTATGTTTTTGAAAAACATAATTTACGCATACACACACACGAATTGCACACACATATGCAAAATATATAGTATTTTCGGAGACTTTCGATACTCGGGGTGGAAAATAAAACTCAAACATAAAAACCTGTTCGTTTGCGAGAAAAGAAAAAATGATGTGCCCGGCGGTATGGGTAGAATTTTCGTTGCCGTATTAACCTCAGACATACGTCGGGGTCGTGCTGTAATCATGCCTTCTTCATCCACTATATGCAATACAAATTTATTCATATATTACGTATATATATGTAAGTTGCCAATTTGGAAAAAATAATAAACACATTTATAAGAATTTGTCCAAAAACCATATATACAATAAAACTACAAATATCTTAAAAATATACTTAGGTTCTTACTAAAAATGTTTCATTTCTATCTATACCTATTATTATATCTTTATTAAAAAGAAAGTAATTAAAATAATATACTTATAATTGGCCAACCTTAACAGCAAAATGCAAAAACCAATAAAAATTAAATAAATCAAAAATATTGTTGGTGTCGTATTGGTGTTTTGTTTTTGGTTTTTTTAAACTAAAAAGAATACAAGTTATGTACATTCGCAATACGCATTAGATACAGCTCGATAGGGAATTATAATCGATTGTTTGTCACATGCGAACAACAAACGGCATAGTAACCAGTGTAAAATAAAGTAACTCCAATCACAAGACACATGAATCATATTTAAAGAGTGTGCGAGTGTGTGTCTTTTGTAGGCTGTCGATCGGCGATGGATCGATGAATTGGTTGATTGAATTACCTGTTCGTGTAACTGAAAATGAAAAAGGCACTGCCTCGCGGGATGGGCTTTTTAGTCTTCTTCATGCTGACCTCGGATAATCGTCTGGGTCGTGCAGTGACACGTGCTGACACTTCGGAATTGGAGTCTTTCGATTAATATTTGCAAGTGTTTTCGTGTGTTTTTAATTTTTGTTGGGTTTTTTTGGGTGCGTGGTTTCCGAAAAATAGCAGCAGTTGATGTAGGCGTCGGCGGCATTGTTTTAGGAAATATTTTTGGTTTGGTTTTGATACGTGTTAGTTTTTTTGAGAAATTCTAAGCATAAGCTAAAATACTTAATTTATAGTTCTTAGATTATGTATAAATCTTACACAGAGCTTAGTCGGTGGATTGGTTAATAGAATTCGACATGACATACCTTCTTCTTCCTCCTCGCACATCTCACGGACTTCCTCATCGGATAAGGTCTCATGGTCCCTAAAAAGAAATACATGATTAAGTTTCAGAATTTAGCCTTGGGTGTGAGGCCTGAAAGTTTAAGATAAGTTTCTTGCTTTCCCTACATTTTGTCTTCGTCATCTAGTTCCTGTTGCTCCATGTCAATATCTATGCTAAGATGATCATCCATGCCATCAATGGTTGGAGTGGGACTATGGGACCTTTTCTGGGCTGATTCATCATGCTAGAACATCGAAAACGATTATTTAGTATAACTTTGTACAATCACTTATCAAACTTACAGGTTCCTCTTCCTTTTCAACATCGGACAGTGAGTCGGCATCGGCCAAATTATCCACAGCAATGGCCAAGAACACGTTCAGCAGGATATAGTTACCGCATATGAATAAAATTATAAAGTAAATACAGGCCAAGGCACCGTAGGAGGACACACCGCCATAGGCTTTGATGCCCTCGTACATCACAGTATTCCAATCTTCACCAGTCATGATCTGAAAAATGTATATCATTGCATACCGTTCTAGAATATAAATTGTCAGAATGACTTACCTGAAAGACTGTGAGTAGAGCTTGCCAGAAACAGTCGAAATTCATCCGATACTTTTCCTCATTGGGCTTTGAATTAAATTTGCCACCAAAGACTTGCATACCCAACAGAGCAAATATCACAATAAAGAGGAAGAGCAGTAAGAGAAGCGAAGCAATCGATTGTATAGAGTTTAATAGGGAAGCAACGAGATTTGAAAGAGATCGCCAGTACCTAAAAATTAGTGTGTTAATATATTTGATCTCATAACTTTTATTAGAATTTACGCACTTGGTTACTTTGAAGACTCTTAGCAGACGCACACATCGCAACACGGAGACACCCAAAGGAGGCATCATTCCAGTGTTGGTCAACAAGGTTTCTGTTATACTGCCAATCACCACAAAACAATCGAATCGATTGAATAGTGAAACGAAGTAGCCCTGAAAGCCTAGACTGTACATCTTCAATAACATTTCACAAGTAAAGAGACCGATGAAGAACATGTTGGTGTATTCTGAAAAAGGAAAAAAAAATTTTTTATATTAATTAATTACTATAAAACATATATTATTACTAATTCTAGCATTACTAAGAAACACAATAATATTGGGTCAATCAAGCTGAACCGCGAATTCTTTAGGAAATTGTACATTTTTATCGTTACACTCACCCTGGAATCTATCCAGCCAATCAAGTTGCCCATAGTGCTCTGTGGCCAGGACGCCAGTGTTGAGGAACACCAAAACAATGATGAGCCAGTAGAATGCCTGTGATTTGACTGCCTTGCGGCAGGCTCGGCGCATTCGTCGATTGACCCGATCGAAGTCCTTTTTCATTTTGCGCCAACGGGATTCAGTCAACTGAACCTCAGGCATTTCCTCGCCCAGGTTCTCGGCGGAGTCTGTTTCGTTGGTCTGCTTGCCCTTGCCATCGGATATCAGGCCACCCACGGCATCAGGTTCAATATCCTCGGCTTGGGTAATCCAATCAAGATAGCCCCGAAGATCCTCTTCAATTTGCTGCTTTTCTCTCAGCTTCTGGAAGTCACCGCGATTCTTGGCCTTGTTACGTTCCTTGGAGAACTCACCGGACAACACACCGAGAATCAGGTTCATCACGAAGAAGGCGCCCAGGATGACCATGGAAATGAAGTACATCCATTGCCAATCGCTGCCCATTGAATCTTGGATCTGAAGATTATGTGGGTATTAGCGAAATTTAAATTGTATTTAATAGACAAGCTAAAATTTCTGATAATGTATGCATTTTAGATTCACTTACGCTATATAGCACATCGGTCCAGCCCTCGAGGGTGACGCACTGAAATACCGTCAACATGGCCAGGCCAAAGTTGTCGAAGTTGGTAATGCCGAAATTTGGTCCATCCCAGCCGCCATAGCACTTGAAACCCGCTGGGCATGAATATCCTACTCCACAGGGTCGAATTTCATCCTCGTATTCACCTAGATTCCGATTCGTTGGATTTTGTTTGGTTTAGGATTCATGCATTAGTGATGAAGTGAAATGTAATGTAATGGGGTGAGGTGATATAGATATGAGATACTGTTGTTGTGTTCGTGGAGTGCCATTACAGAGTTTTCTTGTCGTGGAGTGTCATATCCGGAATATGTCATATCTTAGACATATTTGACTTGTCCCAAACAATTGATCAACAGTTTTATTGACTAGCAGATTAGCCGGAAATCGAGGCATTCTCTTGACGTATTCTGGTCAGCTTCATGTCAGCCATCGATTTCCATGTGCACTAATCTGCTAGTGATAGAACCTTTTTGGACGCTGATTTTGTAATGCGACATATCTGGTGGCATTCAAGACATTTGAATGATATTCGTACAACGTATAAATATTGTACGATGGGAGAAGCTCCGCTTACCTGTGATCTCATTGCGGCACGCTTTGTGCAATTTGCCAGAGAAGAGCTCTAGGCCAATGATCGCATAGATTATGATTACGAATATGACCAGGAGTGCAATGTGAAACAGTGGCACCATGGCCTTTAAAATTGAATTCAGCACAACCTGTAGACCTGTAGGATAGCATTGTGAGTTGCCAATATTCGATTGGATATATGGGGGCTCGTTAGTTTAGATGCCGGATAAATATCTAGTGCATACAATCAATGTTAAGCAGAAAACACTGCACAGAAAATATATTACACATAAAGTCTGAACTAGAAAAACTGTATCATATAAGAATTGGTCATACACCTATGAGTTCGAAAATTACATTTTAGATACAAATATTTAAGAGTCTATCGGAAAATGTTAATTTCATTGGAAGTGAATATAAGCTATAAGGTTCTTTGTTTAAAACACTAAGGTAAACAATAAAGTAATAGATAATAATAATAATATTTTTGCATTATTTTTACTGTGCAGTATTTTAACTACGAATCAATCCGCAGTTTCTAGAATTTGGCTCTATCGGGTCTGATGGTTTCGTTTTTGGGTACAAATTTTCTTCGCCGATGCAATGGAACTCTTACTTGGTACACCCGATACAAGTCGCAGTGGACGTAGCACACGAAAGGCACGTAGGGCCTTCACATCGAAGGCGTCCTTCATCAGATGGGAGAGTGCAGTACTTATCGCTCTGGAAAAATGGGCGGCATACAAAGTTCATACGTGTCTCAGTCTAGGCATAATTTCATTTCAAGATTTGATTTCAAATTTTTTCGTTTTACGATTTTCTGATTTGGTCAATTTCGATTGAATTGGATATAAGGTAACATAGAAAATGGTTAAAACGAGGCCACAGGGGGCCTAGGCGCTAAGCGCTTTTAACTGGTATATTTTATATGCTTACCCTATAACTACAATTGTAAAATCTAATAAATTCCATCCATTTCTTAGATATGCACCATTATGTAACACAAAACCATATGCTAAAATTTTCATAACACATTCCGATGTGAATATTACTAGGAATATATATTCAACTTTTTCCTGTTTTTCGGTGTTGGTGTTGGGTTTTGTTTTATTTTGGTTTTTGTTTTAGAGCGCATGTATGTTTTTTCGGATCAGGAATTCAGGGTTCAGAGTTGGTTTCAAGGATAGTATCGTTGGTGCATTTATGAGTGTATTGAATGTGCGATTCGGATGCGTATAATGAGGTGAACGTAAGAAATACATGAAAGAAATTCATATTAATTAGTAAGCCATAGTAAACATCATATATTTGATAAATATTCTTTATATGGACAGAACTTACCAAAGTTAGATTCGTTACGTTCGAATCGCTGCCCGGATAAGGCGTGTATACGGCCAAGGCAATACAATTGGCAAAAATGGTTAACAAAATAAGGAACTCAAATGGTCTAGAAGGGTAAAAGTGTTAAGGAAAGCCAGATTGGGGATTTTTCTGTACCTCAACGAACTAGATTAACATTATCAGTATTATATTATCATTCCATCGGAAAAAGTGATTGCTGAATTTTGGATTTTAAACTGTTGAACTAGTTCGTTGCTATTTTTTTTTTTGGATATGAAAAGGATACTTCCACTCCACAATGCGAATGCACAAAGCTCGCAAGGGATTCTTGAGGCTGAGGCAAAACAGTGCTCGTTGTGGTCTATCTGGTTGCGGCTTGCCCCGCCGCTGCTGTCTCTTTTGGCCAGCGGCAGTTGCAGCTGCCCCAGCTTTTTGGCCACCTGCTCCACTTGGTCCAATTGTGGTGCCGTTCATGGTTTCCGGAATGTTTGCGATGGCCATAGAATCGATGCCTTGAAGGGAGTTATAAGGGTTGCGTAAGTAAGCAGAAAAAATGATTTTGATCAATCTTATTATTTAAAAACATTTTAGAATTTTAGGTTTTTGTTTAGCTTTAAATATTTAACAATTTTTCCACAACCATAGAGTAATGTTAAATATTATTTTTATCGAAAAGTATATTCTTAAACATAACTCAATTTTATAAAAATATATTTTACTATGTCATTTATATGAAATCATATATTTTGTTTTGAATTCACTTTAAATAAGGAAAATTTTAAACTTTGATTTTAATTAGAAATTCTTTTTTAATTGCGTAAAACGTATTAATTAAATTTGGTTATTATAGTATCTAATATTATGTATCTAGATTTGAGTAATTTTAAAATAACATGTTTTGCAAGAAATATTGATTTATTGGAAAATTTTTGAGTGAAACGAAACTTATTTCATCGAAAAAAAAAGATCTTTATTTGATCAGATATGGTGGATTGATTGACTGATTGAAATCCTAATTTTTCCTTGCTTGTAAGACAGTTAGGGAGACTGGAAAGTGAAGACTTACCCATGATATTGTTGCCGCCGCCCAGATCCCCCTCTCCTGAGTCGTATCTCGCCGCCCGGGAGGCATCGCCGCTGCCAGGACCCCCATTTGGCGAGAAGCCACCTCCGCCGGCGGCTCCTCGTTCGAAGTCCATTATGTTAAAGAACTTCCCAGCACCGCCACCGAAATTGTCTATTAGCTCCGCGGAACTGGAGTAAAATGGCGAAAAGGCCTGGGTGTCGTCCTCCTCCTCCTCGAAATACTCGTCGACGTCCTCGTCGTCGTCCTCGTCGCCTTCTTCAGCGGATTCACCTTGCTCCTGCTGTTCCTGTTCATCAATGTCAATGGTGGTGCCCTCGGGCTCCTCGTCGTCTAGCTCCTGATCCTCTCGATCGATATCCTGATCACCGTCGTCCTCGTCCTCGTCGTCGTCGTCCTCCTCGGTGATTCTGCATGTCCTTCTGATCGAGGGGCGATTCCTCGAGTTCTTCCTCACAACAACGTCAGCGTTGTCGTCCACCTCGCCGACGTCCTCGAGTGAGTCGTTGTTGCCGCCGCTGCTATCCTGGAAGATGCGGACACCCTCATCGGCATCCTGCCGGCGATCGCTGAAGCTCTCGCAATCGGCTAGCGAATGCTCCTGGGCCTGTTCCTTGGCTGCGGCTGCAACTGCGGCTACAATGGCCGCTGTGCGCAGTGTTTGCGAACTGAGATCCTTGTTGGTACCGTCCTCGAATTCACCCTCGTCACAATCGCCAATAAAACTGCTCACGTCACCGACGCCAAAACCATGCAACGTACTATTATCACCGGTAATATCGCAGTTGCAACTATTGCTGCTGCTGCTGTCGCCACCGACGGCACTGTAACTACTGTCCTCGTCACAGCCGCCACTGAAACTACTATTTGTGCTGCCGGCACTGGTCACGCTGTTCTGCGGTTGCAGTTGCCACGCCTCCTCGGGCGTTAGTCTTGGGGGCGGGGCACTGATACCACCACCGCCGCAGGATGTGCAACTCGATTTGCGACGCTTACCGCTGGAGGCAGAGGTTGAGGGTCCTGCTCCCGGGCTGATCGCCGATCCTGTGGCCAAGCCCGTCAAAGATCCCGATCTGGATCCCGCTGACGCTGGCTCACCACCACCACCGTTGATGCTTTTGTGCCGGCGCTGTTTGAAGTCTAACTTGTAGGTGGTGTTGTTCACAATCTGGCTGGTGACGTTGCTGAGGGCGAGCTCGGTGCTGGTGGGTCGCCTCCTGGTGGTCCCACTGGGTTGGTCCGGATCCTCGAGCGGATCGAGGGCACTGCAGCTGTCGTATGGAAGGAATAATATATTATATTATTTAAAGTTCATCTTACACCTGCCATCAACCATTTATTCTACAGGGTGGGGTGTGGCCATATAGGGTACATAACTAAATAACCTTAAAGTGTTCCATTGTAAAAATCCCTAACATAATCAGGGGTGTTTTTAGATTTCATTGGGATTATCTAGTTTAAACTAAGTTAATTATTATTAAAGGCATCATCAAATCCCATGTTAATACTTCTATCTTTAAATAAACTCAATTCAAATCCATTTCATTGAAAATGTACATTTTGTATTTCCTATTTGTAACTTTTTAATGAGAATTCATCGACAGCAGGCAAATCATTCCTCTGACAGATGTTTTGTGTTGATTTGTGAAAAGTCGTGATAAACTATAATAGTTTATTGAATTTCGTCAATAAACAAACTAGTTTTACTGCGTTTTTATGGCACATATGTTTATCCAATTATGACTTAACTTGGCAGGATAATTTAAGGCCATCATAAATCAACTGATAGGTGGGTGGGCCAAGATCTAGACAATCAAATTTTGCAATTTCCTAACGATATTAATAAATCAATTTATTCCTTTGCACCGGGACACAAGGCCTCTTATGAACCTATTTATAACCCGTTTAAACTTTAAAGTCGGTTACTGTATAACTAATATGGGCTTCATGTGGCACATTAAATACTTTGCATGCGATTTCAGACACACGAGACACACATTAAGACGACGAGCACATGGGACAACATTGAGTCACGATAGGAGTACGAGTACGATAGTTAGTATTTAATTGTGGGGTCTGGTTCCGACTTACTATGCCCTAGAGCGCCTAGTTTGTTCCATGTAATCAAACTCTTGGATTGCATGGAAAATGTATTTCTTTTCGTGCTCCAGCTGGAGTTGTATGTACCTTTGTTGCAGGACCGTGCCCGAAGCGGTTCCCAATCCTGATCCCAATCCGGCGCCCGTGGGCGAAGTGCCCGCAGATGCTGATGTGGTTAGTGGGTTAGCGGGAACCGGAAGCGTTATAGTCGGAGATCTATGCTGATGATGATGCTCCGGTTTGACAACGACCACTTCCAAATCACTTTTGACCGATGACGATGACTTGCGATTATACTTTCGACTGCCACGCGTCGGAGTTTCGGCCTTCAAATAACGCCGGGAGGTGGACGGGGAGGTGGGCGAGGGTTTCCTCTCGATGACCAGGGTGTTGTCATCGTAGGCAATACAGTTCACCAGCTCCCCGCCACCCATCACAGTGGTTGTGGCGGTGGTGGAGGTTGAGGTGGAGGTGGAGGTCGAGGTCGAGGGTTCCCTTTCACGTTCCCGCTCCCGTTCCCGATCCCGTTCCCCATCGCCACGGTCATAAAGTTTGGCCTCCTTTTGTCTCTGGAATTGCAATTGCCGGCGGCGTTGCGATGAGGTGGTGGCCCCACTTCTCGACTCTATGGGTTGCTTCTGACTTTTCGAGGCACATGATTCATCGACGATGACAACACTGGCCGGCAATAAATCTCTGCCCGCCGCCTCCCAATTCTTATCGCTAGTTGTATCCCTATCCTTATCGTTATTTTGTTTCTGATTTAGTCTATTGTTAGCACTAGAACTATCCAAGGCATCGTGTCGGGTAATTGGTTGCTGTGGCTCTGGCTGCTGCGGCGATTGTTGCTGTTGCGGTGTTAACGAGGCTTGTTCCTTACGGTCTCCTTTGGGTATTATCAATGGGGTGTTAAAAGGCGGCACAGGGGGTGGTAATACATAAAGTTATCAAAGTTAGTAAAATGTGAAGTATTGGAGGATATTGATTGGCATAATAAACCGGGCTATTCCGTCTGCTGTTACAAAACTAAACCTAGTAAAAGTATTCCTTGAAAATAATAGTATTAAATAAATTATGGCATTTTATTTCAGAACTCATTAGGAGAATTTTGGTTACCCTATTGAATAATTTGACTTCACCAATTATAAATAGCTATATGTAAATAACCAAAATGGAACTTTATTTATAACAAGTTTTGGGTATATTAAAAAAAATATTCCATTTCATTTCAGAACTCATAAGAAGAATAATGGTTATCCTATTAAATAATATGACTTAACTAATAATGAACACCTATTGTAAATTACCAAAATGGAACTTTTTTTGTAACAAGTATTGGGTATTCTTTCGCTTTCTGTAAAAGAACCAATAAAAAGAAAATAGCCAAAATAAAAACACAAAAAAAAAAATTAATCTAAAAATTTGTGCACTGAATTAAAATCTTTAAAAATCCATGCTTTGAGCAATAAAGTAAAATTAAATTAATCTACCTTTCATGTATTTAAATAATAATTACAAAACTTCAGTTACAGCCATCATAGAAGATAAATGGATCATCTTATTACTTAAATCCAATTATCGTAATGATTAAAAGACCTTCTACCTGTATTCATATTTGAAGTTTCATTCGGACGCACAATATTGATTTGCCTTTCGTTTAAAATGCGGTTTAGATCCTTGGGGAATGGTGCTTGCCAAAAGCCAAATAGCGAATTGCGGTCAAAGCATCGCAGCAACAGGTGTGTTTGGTCTCAGTCGCCACACAGACATGCTCACTTTTTTATTCAGACTCACTTAAATACGGTGAAAGCTTTTAGTTTTGTTTAGAAAATGGGTTTTATTAGTTGTAGAAATTCGACGGTGGTGACATATAGTTTTGTTGTATTTGTATGGTCTATAGTTTGGACGTTTTAATAGCGGCGGTTTGTAAAAATTTGGCATTTGTTTGCTAGTCTGCAGTGAAGAGTCGTTTAAAGATTGTAGATCTACAAGGAATACGTTTATATTTGAGTATATATTAAAAAATCCACCCCCACAACATTGTATATTATGAAACCCCTTGGAAAACTCTAGAAATTTCCATGATGGTTCCATTAGTTTTTTAGAGCATATTTTCGGTTAACTCCTGCTATCAGAGCACTTTATTGGATTTTACTTAATTCCATTCGAGTGAACATACAACGAATTTTCATCGGCTGTGATAGGTGATAGCTTATCGGCATTTCCTGGCCCAGAGCAACCTATATATATAACCCACTTACGTGGCTAAGTGGGTGTGAGAGGGAGAGAGCACCAAAACAAAAACACGCGCAATGTTTACATTTTCCTTTGTTGTCGCAACGACTTTTTTGTGACCCAACTGTCAAATGGGCAATCAACTTTGACTGAGAGAAAGCGACTTTCTCTCACAAACTCTCTCTCAGGCAAGCTCCTTCTGCAGCCGAGCTTTTGGCCTTTGCAGCAAACAAAATTCAACTTTCATTAGATTACCAAAATACGAAAGCCTTTAAATACCTTTTTGGGTTATATTTTATTGCAAGAATTGGTTTGCATAGGTAGAATTCATGGGGTAATTCCCCAAAAAAGTTATAAAAGTATATTAAAGCGGGTGGTATTAAGCAAGGAAACTTCCTGGGAGTTAGGGCAAAACTCTATAGACAAGAAATGGGGTCAAGAGCGCGCTTTTGGCAGCAAAAACTAATTTGCTCGTGGTCTTTTGATGGCCCGCCTGGGAAATGATGTATGGATACATAGTGTGCCTTGCTGGCTTATTAATTACATTAAGTAATCCATGTTTTGGTTAGGGGTTCTAACAGTTGAGAGGTTCAAGCTGACCGATTGACCTACCCACGCATATGTAATAGCCTAAACACCAACGCGCCACCGCACCAACACATGCGAATGTGTGAAAAATTTCTAAAAGGCCCACTGCGAAGAAAGTGAAAGCAGCTTCTTTCTAGATCCCTTTTAAGTGTTTTTGGTCTCCCCTTTCTGAATATCAACACTGCACTTTACAATTTCCTTGTTATGGCCTTAATTTATTTGATTTTCCTGGCTTTTAAGTGTTGTATTTTATTGTATTTTTCACACGCGACCATCAGCAACGCGAACGAGTTTAAGGAATCAGCCACAAAAGCACACTGTGCAGGAAAATTCAGCTTTTCGCAGCGACAACCGTGAAAATTTTTATGAGGTCCGCAAGAAAAGCTTAGGATGTGGAGCTTGCTCATCGACTGGTGAAAGGTTGTGAAATCGGGAAGTTTTGCTGTTGGTGTACATTACTAGATATTCCAAAAAGAAGAGAAAGTTTCAATTTAAAATCGTTTTACATACCCGCAGTAAAAAGTTTTTATAAAATTGAGTGGTACTAAAGTTACCAATTATTGAAATAGTAGCCAGTAGTCAGAAAAAACAGGAACCGAAAGTCTACGTTTGTTGTGATTTCTGTTCTAAACAATTTAGTTTAGATTAATAAACAAAAAAACTGTCATTTACGGTTATTAAGTTAACAAATCAAAACCAAAATCTATTATATGTTTTCCCTTTTAATTAATATTCAATAATATCACAATACGCATTTAAAGTGCACTTGGAGAATTAAAGTATTTAAAATCAACAATAAAATTGTTAAAACTTTACTAGCCCCTAGAATTACAACTTAAATAAAATGAAAAAATATTGTTTTTTAAGATTTTATTGCCAATTATTTTATTACCAATTAAATGCCGAAAAACTAAATAGGTCCAAAAATAGTTTTGTTACGAATTTAGTTGTAAAGTTACTGATTTAAACTGTCCTAGAAAGTACCTCAACAAAATACATTAAAATATTAGTTTGTGGTAGTGAAACAATGTTTTTTGTTGGATATGTTTTGTTGTTCTTTATATTTTAAGAAGTGAATCCAAAATGTTTTCGGAATTATTCTACTTAATTAATTGGTATTGTACAGGGAAACGGAATATAAATGGTATTCAACAATAACATAATTATAAATATCAATTAGATGAACTATGTATGGGATATCCCAGAGATATTGTTTAACCCTAAATTTCGAACCTCTGTGTTTACAAACAAATCGAAATCGTACGTAAATGTGCCGACGAATAAAAGCGGGAACCAAACATTTATACATTTCTGTTTTTTTTGTATCTCTATAGATCAGGCTCTCTTGCTGTAGATATTTTTATCAGAAGCTAAAACAACTTTTATGAATAGATCGGGAGAGTGTTTCAATACGGGGTATCCTTATCCCGCTCGCACTCACATTTGTTGTCAAACAGCTGATGTTGTTGAACGCAAGCGCAGATGAAAATGTTTGACAGTTGGCGAGAGACCGTTGAAATCTTGAGAAATATACTAGAAAAGCGAATGTCAAATATTGAAAATACCCATTTTCCCCGCATTGCTTTTCCTTTCCCGGCTGAACTTCACTTACACAGCGGGTGGCCTGAGTCATCACGAAACACTTTCTGACGTTCGGCCATATATCATAACTTATAATATAAATTCGATTTTCCCATGGGTGTGTTTTTCGATGAGCTATACAATTTGGCTAATGGTATATTTCCGGCTAAATGTGGCCCGCTGATTTGTTGGCGTCTTAGAACTATGAGAATAAATGTTCACAAATTGTCGTTTGATTTTAAAAACATCAGCTAACTAATTTGTACTGGACATCTTTGTTTTATAGTTTTTTTTTTATAAATATTTGTGTGTGCACATAAGCGTTGATCACCATTTAATGATTTGTTTACTTTTGTACGCTATTTTCATGAGTTTTTCTGTGATTTTATTTCGGTTTTATAAACAATAAAAAGCCATTAAATGCTATGAAATTCTTTAAATGCCTTTTTATAATAATTTGATTGTACTTAAACGATATACATTTTCAGTTTGCCCCTAATCCTTTCATATTTATTTTTTTTGCGAAGGCCAAACAATAAAAACACTTCAATGTTTCTTCTCTATACAATTGTTTTAATTATTTTTGACTATAAAACAGAAATATGCCGCACCAACCAGAAATTAGTTTTCATCGTATACAATGAGATATGTGCGGGAAAATATTTTTTAAAACAACAGAAAAACGTAAGAGAGAGTGAAGAGGTTGGGGGCGTATGGGATCGGGGAATATAGTGTAGGATCGGCGTTTCGTCGGTCATTTTCTTTGGGCCAGAAGATTATTTCGCCGGTCTAAAATTAGATCAAGCACACGTAGTTGGATCTGTCGATGCGGCAGTGTTGTTAGTGCTCCTATTGTAGCCCCCAAAAAATTTAAAAGAGAACAACAAAAGCGATCCGCAGGCAACGAAATACAATTTAACTCAATTGTATTGCCTTTTACTTAATTCCAATTAAAATGGTTTATTGAAATATGCGATGCCAGAGTCTCAAAACACAGAAAATGGAACACTTTAAAAAGGCTATTTTTAAAAGGCTAAATCGAAGCATATATAATGTATACTTGATCTAGTTAATTGCGGGGCTGCTTGTTGAACATTTCACTTACATGCTGATCCCTCGGCGTTTCCCTCGCGTGGCAACAATAAAAGCACGCTGAGATTTTTATTTGTTGAGTTGAGGGGCAGTCGTGCGTACCGAAAATCCGAGCCAAAAAGCCAAAAGCAGCATACGTGGCGTTGATATTTTTAAACTTTTTTCGCTTAGTACATATTTTTCAATTGACTGGGAAATCTTCAATTCCCCACCGATTTTATGCTTTAAAATATTGAATGGTTACTATTTATGCATCCCTGTTGAATTAGAAACACGTTATTCACTTAATGCAGTCATTTATTATATGTATGTTTATATATAGCTGCTCAAAGTGTGCCAGCTCAATATATAATATAGATTTATCTCGCACATTATACATATATTTTCCATATATCTTTGCACTTTTAACACTTTTGCACTGTTAGCCCTTAAGAAAATACATTTTTCATTAAGAAATAATTATGTTAAGGGGTAGTGGCAGAGAAAACACCGAGAATTGCACTCGAAATTGAAAATTTTCTTCACCCGTACAGAAAAGTATTTTCTGCGTGCAGCTTAAAAATAAATCTGAACACACACGGTCGTTGGCGCGAGGAGCCGAACCAAACCAATTCACGCCAACGATCAGCCGAGAACTGTCAGATTGGTGAGATCTCCAACGCCTTCCATGCTAGTTGGTGAACTTTTTGGTATTTTTTCAAATAAGTACCGTGGCAATTTTAGGATATTCTCGAAAATTCGATAGACAAATGACAATTGTTGGTCGAAATCAGGACACTTTGAAATCTGCAGATTTTGTATAAAAATGATGTTAAATTATAAATTATAATAAATTATAATAATTATATTAATATTATATATTATATTATAAATAATTATATTAATTTACTAAATACTAAGCAAAAATGCAAGAAAAAAAATTTTGTGTTCAATGGGTTTAGTTCGAAATACTGAAATATACCTACATAATCAATATGCCAACCAAAAAATGCAATACCAAAAAAATGCTATTTTGAGAATTTTTGGTTAAAATATAATACAAATTAAATACAAATTAATAAAAAATATTAATTTAAAGAGTATTTTGTGTTTCAGCTATCCAGAACATAGAAAGCTCCTGTACTGTAAACTAACATTGAGAGCTTTTAAAAGTTGGCACTGCATAGCTTGTTAATTAAAATTGGATTTTATTCAAAATACCATAATTAAATTATCTTAACACTAAATTATGAGCGAGAATAGGTACCTCTATTGTAATTACTTTTTGAAAGGCTAAATGCCATTTAGCAACTTCTTTGCCACACGGGTAAAAAGTTTTTATAATTACACACTAAAACAAAAACAGCGATGCAAAACCTAAATTACAAGAATCATAAACAGGCTTACAAACCCAAACACACGTGAACAAAAAAAATAATATTTATATATGTGATTATGTCGGTAGAATACCGGAGGCAAGAGCAACTTTTGCTTGTTTGTTCGTTTGGCGCACGTAGCATATTTACAGGAGTCCAACTTGGAAGCAAAACTGCGCCAACAGGAACAGGAAGAGCCGCTCAGATTGTCTTTATGCTATGGATATGGTTGGGAGGATGTGGAACACACATTCCTCTTGGCTACTGCCGGTACAAACGTATGTACACGTTTTAACGCATATAATTAAGGGCAAACTGACAGGAATTTAAACTTTTTATTGTCAAAAATACTCTTTGGCTTCACAGATTGTACAACATCTCTTATGTTATTGTAAGAATTTGAACCCTTCCTAACTAATATAAGAACATACAAAAAAAAAAACTCTTAGGTAGACATAGGTTTTTGGGATTTTCTAAATTAAAATCAACACAACATAACATAATTATAAAATTATTTCACAAATGATGAAGAGGTTTCATAACAGACTTTACAAATATATTTTAAACTTCCAATATAGTTGCCCTTGTAAGATTATTATACGAAAAATCAGTCAGCAAAATGTTGTTAAATATATTTTTGAGTTTACGAGCGATGCTCAGGGGTTCAACGTTGCGTATGCTCGTTATTAACTTGTATGGCTAATTAAAAGTTTTTTACAGCTTGTTATCAGGATTTTTTTTACAAGCAGAAACATATTCAAAAATTTTTGCATTGCATTCCGTTGAACCACAGACACTCTCGCACTCGCAATTGGTAAGATAATTGCATTAAAATAACTGAGAGAGATTCTCGGAGTGCCTCGTCCTCGAGGACTTCATTATAAGTTGCCGTCTGTGGCAGCAAAAACCCAGCCAAGCAAGTAAACTGGGAAACTATATTTCCTATCTCTTACTGCAGGACGAGCCAGAAAGGCAACAAAATGTTAAAGTTGATAATTTTCTGGACATTTTAACTGTAAAGTGACATTTCATACTTTTGCGACCTTTCTGCTTTTCGGGGGTCAACGTTGAGGGCAGTTGGGGGAACAATATACATAAACGTTACTGCAGCAAGGACGCCAACGCGCCAACTCACAGGACACTCGATAAAGTTGCGCAGAAGTCAAATCTCAAAGGAAATTAATTTGTGTTGCAATGTGAAAATTGTGCTGAAAATGAGGTTTTTACTGTGTTTTCTTCGTATTAATGCAATAACACTCAAAACTCGAACGGAACTGTC